CAATTCGCGTCTTGAGAAGTCTGCCAGTTTCTCCGACATAGGCGCTTCGTCCGCAACTGCACCAACTGATGTAGATGACTCCAGATGCTTCTTCTTGTTCCTTATTTCAAACACACCACGACGTCCATTGCGTGTGACGTACTAGCGCAAGCTGGGAAGGCTTTCCAAGTAAACTGAACACCAATTTTACAATCGAATTGATTGCATTGAATGAAAAAGAGCGTAGCGTCGAAACAAAAGTTGGGAAAGAGTGTGACACTTATAAATGTCTACCTTGCGTGCGCATTTGACTTGACAACTAAAATCGTCATTAGTTTTACCCGAAACTTATGACAAGCATTTTGTTTGGCACTCGGGCCGGCGTGCTGTTCCCAAAACCTGCAACACGGAGCTCTGCGGCGTGTGTTAGGTTCTTCTAGATCAAAAACAGGACTAACTGACGGGTAATTATGCCTGTCCGGTTCCGGATTTATACGTTCGCGTCCTACTGCAGCCTCCGACAGGGCGGTCGAAGATTTTTATCACGCGTGAGCCAATCGCCTTTCGAGTTCTGTTGTAGGAACTCTCAGTAATCTAATTGCCTACAGGGACAGTAAACGCAAATCATGCGCGTCTGAGGAAGCAAACACGAAATTGGTTTAAAAGTGGCCTAGCCAAGCATGACGAGAAATGCAAATAAGACTGGCTGTACACTAGAAAATCGGGCGGAAGACGCAAAGAAGCGTCGTCATCTACGCAGGAATAATTGATAATTTTTAGCTTAAAGGTAGATTTAAAGCGCACCACCTGAAGCATTTCACTACAAGTATTTATAAAATATTTCTAACACGCCAGAATATATACGCAAAAAGGAATAAGAAAGCTATTAATTCTCGGATATTAGTACTTCTTTGAACGAGATCTGCGCAGTAAATCCTTAAGAACAATGTCTCCTCAGTTATTTGAAAGGCTTAATGGGATCCTATTACGGATTTCAGAACAAATTGATGCTTCTCTTGAACGTGACTGATTGCAAAATATAAAACAAGCATTGTGGCATAATTTTTTTTATCATGGTTTACTGGTTTCTCGCCAACCTGTATATTTGTGCCCCGAGAAATGGCTATACTCCAGCGTTCGGTGGGTCACGCCCACAGTTAGAGACTCAAAATATTATTAGCTGCATTACATACCCTGTCCATTGCATCATATGACAGACTAGCTTATGTCCGTCATCGTTGTTTCGTCAGTACCCCGTTTGAATTATTGATTGCCTCAGGAGAAGAAGATGTGACCACTGGAACAAGACTTTTATTTTCCTAAAGTTTTGGATTGTGGCGAGAATCCTTAATCATAGGTAATCGTAGAAAAGTCTGAGACATGCACAGATTGCACGGTATTTATAGTTCGTAGTGGTCATCCGCATGCGTGCTTTGATTATCAGTTCCTGTAGCCATCAATTGGGGTCTTAATTGGTGCGGTTATGGCTCATTAATGGCCACAATTTCCTTGTCCGCGCCGGATGTGGGC